GCAGTCGGCAGCAAGCCCACCACAATGGCAGCTGTAGAGTTCCTGAATAGGTCGCTGAATTGTAGCTACAGTGTCAATGAATAATATTCAGTGGCCTTAGGCAGTTGATGTTAGCTGAATGCAAGTCACGACACAAGCCCGTATAAAAACGGGCAAGATCCTTTTGCGCGAGGTTTCGCCCTCAATGTTGTCGCCACTAAGATCACTGGATCCTGGAAAAATAGCTCCAAGCGCCCGTATGGTCGCCATTTTGGTTCATGGAACGAGCAGTTTCTTCTTGACCTCTCCATTATTGGTGAGCCGATCTAAAGTCGCTGGTGACGAATTGCTTCACAGAGACGTTTCTCGTATACCGCGGTTTTGCTGTCCACACACCGAAGAAAACGAGGGTACACCTTCGTACCACCGCCACATGCGGCGTCATTGCTTGGAGGCATCAAAAAACTAAATTTTCTGTATTGAAATACGCAAAAAACAGCAACACAATGGTAAGTGATGTGTGGAGGTAACCGTGATTGTTAAGTTGATTACATACAGATTGCCTAAGACGCTTAAAATGGCGAGGAACCCTTTCCGTACGATGAAGCTTTATAGCGATCTCGACTAGACTGGTTTAAAACGACCCTTTCGAAGGTTTGAAGATTTGGAAGAACCAAAATGGCGATTGCCATGATAAAAGAAACCGATTAGAAAATCACCTTGCGAGGTGTTGGTCCTCCGTATGTTGGTATTCGTTCCTCTCCTGCTAGAAGGCGGGGAAGGCAGTGGCGCTACTTTCCGAGGGTCCAGTGACTTTAGTCGCCACCAGCTCTTTTATCTAATTTTATTAGATGGCGATGAAGCACGCAACGCACGTACATGTACAGTGATTTGCATTCATTGGTCGCAGCTATTGACAAAATCATAACGTACTAAATGCGTTTTTAATTCTAAACTCGGTATGTAACGCAATATTGTAACATTCAGTGCTTATCAGTTTTTCTTTTTAATTTTTAATTAGTTCATTGGATTATGAAATGCATTTTCCACATCCCCCGGGGTCGTGGGAACAATGGGGCATAAGGGACCCCGAAGATTATCTCGCTACTTTTCCATTACCCCATGGGTGTTAGGATATTGCGCATTTTAAGCAATCTGGAGCGCCTATCATCCCCGCAGTGTACTGGTAGAGGCTGAAGATATGCGTAAACCTTAAAAAGCAGTCTGTACAGTAAGCATGGTATGTCACGTGTTTATGTCGCGCCCAGCGCCACTGCGCAGACTTTTTTTTTTCTGTAGGTCGAAACATAGTGTTTTAAATTTATAGTTCGGCGTAGATTGCGCCGATTGGTTCTCCCAAGTGATTCTTGTCGGCAAGTATATAGGCGCTCCAGATTTCTCTAGATTGTAGCACTCCCAGAGGCCACACGGAACTTGTAGGCTTCGATCTTTTAAATGTCTCCTTCACTTGGGAAGTCCCGCCTCGCCTTGCGTCTGGCCTTGCGAGGATTCTTGGCGCTCGGTCTCGTCACCGGGGACGTTTCCACTGGTTGAAGGGGACGGCAAGGAGGGAACTGGCTCCACGTGTTTGGCCGCGTCATCGTAGGCGGCTTTCGTTAGAAGCATAATCAGCTGCGCAGAGAAACAAAATATAGCGCCATTTGTTTTACCTTTTAAAATGATAGCACCTCTTGGGTCATGATTATACCCTCCCCCCCCTCCCTCTCCCTAGCATTTAGATATCATATAAAAATAAATAATACGTTTTTCTTCTCCGAAGCAAGAAATAAAGAGCTTTATTTTTTTTTCTTAAGATGTAATTTTTTATACAAGAAAATATTGTGGACGTGTTTAAAACGAAGGTGTATAGCCGTTGCGTGACCAATAGTGTTCGCGCTTCTTACTTTGTGAATAATTATTAGACGCCCTTATTGGCTAATGTCGCAACCTCATTAGCTGCGGAGCTTCACTGGCGGCCATATAGCTAAATGCGCGACTGGTGAGCGCGTGCTTACGGCTAACTTCCACAGTCATTGTGCAACGTGCGCTCCAGATCACCATGATTGTCGGCCTTAGCAGTATATTAATGTGAGATCTTTCCGAGCATGCGGTCTGAACAGCGCAAACAAATATGGCGTCCAATAAATGCACCCCGTAGTAGACGATTGAAAGCAGGGCATCTGGCCGCTGCTATGTCTCTGCTCGTGCTGGCAAGTGCGTGCATTTAGAAGCTTGCCAATGCTACGTTCACGCGCGCGCTGCACATGGTTGCACGCATGGGGCACCAGTGAGGCGCCATTGAGGCGCCATTGAGGCGCCATTGAGGCGCCATTGAGGCGCCATGGCGGAAGGAACCAAAACAAGTACCAACTAGCCCAACTAATTCCCTTAGCAAAAAAAGAAAGAAAAAAAAATACAGGGAGATTTTTTGGTGGATTCTTATGGAGTACGTTAGCGTGACCCTTGGAAACGCTACACACGTCCCATTGTGGAAAACGCTAACGCTGACCCCTTCACTTTTCTCTTTTGGCTTTCTTTTTGCTTCCTCTATTTCTTGCTGCCTTTTTTTGAAATCGTTACTGGGTCAGTGTTAACGTTCCCCAAGGGGGATCGTGTGTGGCTTTTTCCAAGGATCACGCTAACGGATTGCCTAAGAATCACCCAAATGGGTCTTCCTGTAATTTTTTTTTTCATTTTTTTTCTCTGCCTGTCAGAGTACGTTTACGCCCTGCGATACAGTCATCTATATCAGGGTCATTCCATGTCAAACGTTCCAGGTGTTGCGCTCGACCACCTTCGATTTCTAAAAAAAAAAAAAAAAAATTCGCGGCCTTTTGTTGCGTTTTTTGTAGCCATGCCCTAAAATATTTTTGACGAAAAATATTTTTTGCTGGCGGAAGCGCGGTTTTAACTTTTAAAAATAGCGTGAAACTAGGCATCACTCTAAAATTTATGAAAAAGCAACTTTTTATCAAACACCCGGCAGTATTTTTTCCTTAAATCCGCACGGCTTTCGACTTGCAATGTGGTTGGGCTTGTGCAGTTCTGTTTAATTTAAACATTTTTTTTAAACACAGTTTATTTTGAAAGTTTTGGCATTTTTGTTATTTTATCAAAATATCTAATTGCCCAGGGTACTTAATAGAAGTTTTTACCGTTTGCCCTGTAGGTATATAGTCTATAAAAAATGTCGAAACCGCTCAAATAAATATCGCCGTAAAAAAAAAAAAAGCCTGAAGTTGCCAAAAAGTGCGTTTTGAAGCGTAAACAGCCGTTTATTTCACCCTGAGGTGGTCCAAGTAAAAATACAAAAAATTGCAGGTTTGGAAGAACAATCGATTGTCTTTTGATTTTGAAAGTTTAATCAAAGCGTTTTTTGTTTAAAGCGAGAAAACAATTTTTGAAGTCCAACTCTCGCACCACACAGCCCGGCGTCGCTTCTTAACACCTCTTCGCCGCACAGCACGCCACCGGCGACGATAGCTGACACGATTAGGTCCAAAGAAAGAACGCAGTTTACTGCCGCTTCCCCTTGTCCGTCTTTTCAGCTGCAAGGGAGGAAACGGCGGGAATCGTGTTGATAATCGGAAGTGCCGCCAGTGCGTAGCCATAGCAGGCCCGTTGTGCCCTTTGTATCCGAGGGCGGCTCCTCACAATCCGAAACGCGCTCCAGCTTTCTAGGAGGCGTTGCGCGGCTACTCCTCCTCTCTGGCTCCGCTCCAGCTGTGCGCGTGACTTTGACGAAAACGAAAGGGTCTTTCAGTTTGTCAGCGCCGGGCAGACACGGAGAGGTGGACGCGTGCTGACGTCAGCGTTTCGGACCAATGGGAGCGTCGCACGCGACATGCTCTCCTTCTCCCTCTCTCCCCGCCGCTGACAAACGAATTACACCTCCGGGTTTTCGTCAAAACAAACTCTCTAATGCTAACGCATAAAAAAAATCATTTTGGATGCGTTAGTTATACATTGCTGTTTTACCGCGTGGCACACGCGCGATAGCCCATTTAAAACAGAACGGTGGCTCATCCAGAACGATGACCCATACAAAAAAGGGTAGCGGACAGATATGCTGTGATTGACGCTTTCTCACCTCATGGGGGCAACGTGGCGCCGCGCAGGGCGCTTCAAAGATTTCCGTCTGCCGCACACAGAGCCCCAACGTGAACGTAGACAGCATGGTTCTCCCAGGCGGTATGGCGATAGCAGGAGACGATAGAGCAGCGACCCTCGCTGTTTCCGTAACGCCACACACGCGCCTCTTGAGGGTGTGCGCTTCTTTCCAAAAAGGTGAATTATCTATAGAATCCTTACAAAAAAATTACGCCCTCTTACAATCGATCTAAAAATACTGCAAAAATGGCGTGCGCAAAAAAAGAAAACACTTTGCGCAAGCTGACAAGTTTATAACAGATATAATACTCTCTTCCAAGAGGCTACTCAATTGATAGATTTGCTATTGATGTATGGTCTTTCACGCATGCAACTTTACAGTATTTTCATATCGACCGTAGGAGGGCTTAATTTTGTAAGGGGTCTATAATAAGATAGGTGCGACTTACCACGCACTGCGTTTTTTAAGTTGCCCCCCTTCCCCCTCTCCCACACACACCGAAATGAATAGTGTTTTGTTTACCGCAAAGATCATCGCCAAACGCTCGTTCTCCACCCCAATGTAGCGCTTGTGGTCCGAACCAGATGCTAAAGTTTCTAATTGATTTTCTGAAACTATCAGTAGAAAAATGGAACCCATTTTTGCCCGTTTTCGGTAACTGGCGCCCTAGAGCCCTGTCTGCCACCATTTTCAAACTGCAAATGTGAAAAAAATTTCAACTTTTGAATATGATAACGGTTTGTGCTGAAACTTTTGTATCCGGTTCGGACAACTAGCGCTACATTTGGGCGGGAAGAAGCATTCGGCGATGAGTGTTTTCTTTTGTTCAACGTAACAATTTACCATTTGTGTGAGTATATTGTTTTTAAATTTCCTCTGAAGTGGACGAGGTTGCGAGTGAGAGTATCTATCACCAGAAGACTACGAATCGTTTCTTTTCTTCTGACCAAAGTAGTTTACCGACCTCTATGAACTTCTCCCATGCCGTGATGGCCTCGGGCTTGAACCGGGAACCCAGCTTGTCCTGGAGCACTTCCAGCACGACGTTGAGCATGGCCTCGAAGTGCGATGGCTGCACGCCCTTGCGCGTTGTGTGGTCAGTTGCGTTCTTGCGTATCAAGGCCACCACTCCGGCGGGGTCGTCGAGGGACCTGATTATGGTGCCGAACGCCTGGATGATCGCACTCGAGTGCAAGGCGAACTGCGGGTCACTCAGGACGACGCCAAGATCCTTGTCCTTGAAGTGCTGGAACAGTGCCATGAAGTCCGGGTGCTTGGTGAACAGAGCCTTGAAAATGAGCTGATCGGCCTTGGGGTGCTGCTTGCACAGCATGGACCAACTGTTCCGGATGAGCTTGGTGTCTCGCTTGGATAGGCCGGTGCGACTGTCCGGCAGGCTTTTCGTCAGAATGTTCCCCATTGACGAGAAGAATGTTGTCTGCCTCGACTGTTGGCCCAGCAAGTTAATCATCCTTTTCCTTCTCTTTTCCGATCAACTGTTCAGTAAGCAAAAAAAGAAAAAAAGTGACGTACTGCTTTCTCATTAGGATTGTTGTTAGAACTAGGGTGCCTTCATGTGCGCTTTGCTTGGGGTGGAGACATCTGTCCATTTTGTTCCCACTTTTACATTTTTTTTTTCAGAAGTGCGTGAAAGAGCGTGTCCCTGCACGCGTCTGTGGCGCTGACTGTGCTATAGCGACATTTTGTTTTCGTCGATTTCTTTGTATTTTCCCCGTGAGCGCGTGCTGTCGGCATCGGGTACTACAAAGGGTGGCATCACCCTAAACAGAAGGTCCTTGAGGCACCCTAGTTAGACCAGTTTGTGGTTTGCTCAATAAGTGTCTTCGTTAGGGCGGAGTGTATTCACCACCAAAGCCTGGCAGTTCGATAACGGAGCCATAGTACAGTAGCCATAGGGTGCCCGGTCGCAGATTTGGAGCGCGAGAATTTGGTAGCACAGAGCATTTCTCGGGGAGCTAAAGACGAACGCAAACACATCGAGGGGCTTTACGGAGAGCCTGTAGTCAGCGCACAGCTTTTGCAGCGGCGAGGACCCGAAACATAGTTTTCAAAACCGACGAGAAAAGAAGCGGTAGCCTGAGAAACGCGAGAAGCACGAGCGGACATTCCATCGCTCGGAACAAGTGTGTTTCGGCGTCTCGCAGCAGCGAAGAACCCCCGTAAAGGGGTATTCACACGAGGGAGAAATCCCGGGGATTTCTCCCCGGCACGCGAATCCAACGACAAAAACGACAGGCTTTGCGATGTGCAAAAGCCTCGCGTTTTCATCTCGTGATGCGCGGGTGCCGGGGAGAAATCCCCGGGATTTCTCCCTCGTGTGAATACCGCTTATAGGGCCGCCCACACTAGCGAGAAAACGCGCGTGGCACGCCGATCGCGGCAAGTAACAAAATGTCGCCGAAGCACAGTCAGCGCCACGAGCGCGTGCAGAGACACGCCCTTTATCTTCCCGCTTAACCGATTTATCGGCGCGCCGGGCGCGTTTTCTCGCTAGTGTGGGTGGCCCTTAAAGCGTGTTTCACATGCAGCAATTCTGGCCCTAGAGCGGCGCGATTTCTGCCGTCGCGGCGCCCGTGCCGCTCAACCGCTGCTGGTGGCTAGAGCCACTCGATATGGCAGCTACGCTGCCATATAGAGTGGCTTTAGTGCTGGCCAGAGCGCCGCAAGGGCAGAAATCGCACCGCTCTAGCTCTAGGGCAAAAACCGCTGCATGTGAACCACGCTTTACAAGACCCTTGTCTGCCGCTCTACCTTTTCACTTTCGGCGGCCGTGTCTCGTGGCGATCTGCCGGGCTTTTTCAGTATAGAGGAGGCTATGGCACTACTCACGGGCTCTGGTGCGCAGGCGTTCGGTTGCCGGTATGAATGTTTTACCTTCATTTTAGTTGAAATCGCGATGTAAGATACACATTAAGGTGATGCCACTCGCGTATCACTCCGCACTCGCGGAGTGATACGCGGGTGGCACGTCCAAGCACTTCGAACCAGACAACAACACGTAGCTATGACTTGCGAAAGGACGACGTTTTCGTCGGCTACTAAATTCTACCGATATCATACAAAGAAAAAGGAGACAAATGACGGGACGACGGCGCACGCACGTCGTGTCGCCGCACTATATCTTCTCTGCTCCGCACGCCGCTGCACGCCGCCTCACAGCCACGCCATCCGCTCAACCGGTGCTCTTGCAGAAGCGACGGTCGCTTCCCGCAGTGCGGCCTTGGATCCAACATAACAGCCCCGGGAGCACGATTGTGGTACTCTGCTCCGCAAGCGAAGCACGTACAGTTTCTCTAGAGGACGCTAAGGCACCTCGATGTGTTTGCGTCTGTATTGCAAGTACCGCCAAATGCGCCAGCGCTCGAGGCCCGTGTCTCGAGCGGCCGTTGGAAGCAAACTGCGGCGCAGTACTGAAGTGAGAGGCCCTTGGAAGTGAGAATGGCGGTAAAGCACCCGCTCCTGGCACGTGTCTTGCGCGTTTCTGCAAAAACACATCATTGTGACGTGTTTTTGCTAAAAAAAAAAAAAATAAATACGTTGGTGCAAAATGCAGGCTTCAGAAGGTTCGCGCCGAGTGAAAGTCATGTACTTAAGAGACACAAATTATTCTTACTTGGTGCAGCGTCGAGAGGAACGGCGCGAGCGTCTGGCACTACGAAAACACGCATTCTGGCAGGAGTGTTCTTGTAAACAAAGCAGTTTCTGGGACCACGCTTTCTAGTCTGCGCCAAAGATGCGGAGCAGAAAAACCTTTACAACACAGCATGTTTTTTTCTAAACCTCCCCCCCCCCCCCCCTTTTTTTTTTTCTCCTTTTCTTTTTTCGATGCTCCTTCGGACAATATTTTTTATTGCTGATGGACTCTCTCCTCCGTTTGGGGTTTTTAATTCGACGACTATATTTGTGTGATTTGTTAACAGTAATCCTCCATTTTTTTTATTTGTTACCCAAAAGCTGCGAAGTTTAAACAAAATACGGAGGTTGTTAAAGCTTGGGGAAGAACTTGAGAACGACACTCCTGTGAGACTTAGAGCGGCTGCCAACGTTTGACTGTCCAGACAATATGTGATTTTTCTTTTCAACTATGTCTCCCGTACACGCTTGGTGTTATATTTACCTTCGGATTAATAAGTAACATTTATTCATTTCAACGTTTCTGTTCTCGGGGATAACTTTCTGAGACAGTTCAGCAAAAACGAAAACATATTTGAGTGCCTCAAGTGCAAGAATTTCTGTACTTTCAGGAAATGCCGCTAAGAGCTAATCCCTGACGTTGATAACTAGCAAAAACACACATTACTCTTTCTCTCCGCTCAATGACAGACTCTCATAAAATAAAGAAACGGAATTCCATTCTCAACTCGCTAATAGACCAAGTGGCCACGTGACCTGACGCTAATTCAATCAATCAATTTTATTTCCTCTCCAAATGAGAGGGGAGGCGGGGGGATCGCTACTTGACGAAGCCCCCGTCTCCCCTTTACATCCGCAGAAGAAACGCAACATATCAGTGAATGAACAATTTAACATATATGAAGACAGGTAATCGAGTGTTTATACTGGATAGTGGTGTCAGTTGTATACAGTGCAAAGGGTTAAACAAGGTAAACATAATTCAATGTTGCACACGCTTGCTCCAAGAGTTTAGAAGTGAGCACACAACAATGCACACTGTCTTTCAAAAATATATCCGCAACTGTCTCTATACACCAACTCATGTTTACAAACAAACCGGAGCGCCCCTAGCGGACGCCACCGGCGCCGCGCATGCGCGGTGGACGGTGGGCAAGAAGCCCGCCGTCGCCCATAAACAAACCATTGCATTGCGTTGTTTTCGGCGTCGGTGGGAGTCCCCGTGCTCTTTTTCGCGTTGGAATTGTTGATTCTACGTCCTCCTAACAATGTCTGACTACTTGAGCGGCTTCAGCAAAATTAACGAGGCAAAACTTTGCGTGAATAATGTGACTTGCGGCGATTCATTTCACGTGGACGTCGCAGAATGGGCGCTAAAGCCTGACTCCCACGATGAGATTCTGCTTGCTATTTTCAATCGCGACGTCGCTCGGGCTGCAAAAGCGTGGACCCTAGCTGAGATGGTGGACGTCGATACTGAAAACCGCAAGTAAAATAGGGCATTACAAATTGGTGTTGGCCACTGGTAACAATGATCAACATCTTGTATCTATACTGTTTACACTTAGCTCCCAACCAACCTTCAAATGTGTTTTGAGGCCTGCACTTAGTTCTTATCGCAATTACCGGGTCAACGTTTGGTTTACGGGCCGCTGTTGTTTGAAAGCGCTGAAGACAAAAAGCAGACAAGTTTGAAAGAGCGGACGACAGTTCGAACGCATGCGAAATGGAGTGCGGACTAGAAGCACCGCGTCCCGCGTCCACAAACCTTTGGAATGTCACGTTGGCGGCGTCTGTTTGAGTCTGCAACTCTTTTTCGCGTTGGAATTGTCGAACCTACGTCCCCATAGAAATGTATTACCACTTTAATCGCCTGAGCGAAACTATGAAGGCTCGTTACACCGCTAAACTTTGCGTAAATAAGTTGACGTGCGGCGATTCATTCGCGTGAACGCCACAGAATGGACGCCAAAACCACGATGAGAACCTTCTAGATATTTTCGGTTGCGACGTCGCTCGTGCTGCAAAAGTGTAGAAGGTAGCGACGATGATCGACGTCGATACTGAAATTCGGTAGCGGAAACAGACCAAGCGTAACAAGTCGGTGATGGCCACTGGTACCAATGATCAACATCTTGTATGTACTGTTTACACCGAGCCTACTTAAGTCGTTTGAGGCCTGCAATTAGTTCTTATTGCAATCACCGGGTCAAAGTTTGGTCTACGGGCCGCTTTTGTTTGAACGAGCAGACGACAAAAAGCAGACAAGTTCGAAAGAGCAGACGGAAGTTCGAACGATCAGGCGGCCGTGTGAATTTGAAGACGCACTGAACCCGCGGGGGACCCGGACAACTTGGCGGTTTTCTTTCGTTCATGTTGGAACAAAACAAATACATCTGGCGACCACAACGTGTTGCCCGCACAAGCAATCGTAGTTCGACAGCGTCTGGTTTACCCTTTTCACGGCTACTATCCACGTACTCGGACGAACGGAGCGGGCAGAAACACATGAAAACTGATCTCAAACCTTTCCAGACTCTTTTGGCACAACCCCCGTCGCAGCATTTTGACGAGAACGCAGGTTTTTTGTCCGGTTTCTCCGAAAAGAACACAAGAATGCATGTCTTGCACGGCGACTTCTGCCCACCGCCCCAGACCGGAAGTGCGTCCGACGCGCCACCACCGCGGCGTGACGTAGGAGAGTTGAGTTGGTGTATACCTTCAAAACATAACGCCTATTCAATGGATCACTCAAATAGGCCACGAATTTCCATTTTGCTTGTGTTTTCCACGGAAATTCTCTTTGCTTCAAGGTTA